GCGGCCGGGCAGGCCCCCGGGGCACCCCCCGCGATTCCTGCCAGCGGGATCCCTCCCGGCCGGGCCTGCGGGGACCTCTCGGCCTGGAAACTGACATCACACCCTGGCAGCTGATGTCACGCCCTGGAAACTGACATCATGTGCTGGAAACTGACATCATGGCCAGGCAGCTGCCCTCAGGCCACCTGCGGCTCTCCCCACGGGCACTCTCCCCCGACGCCTGAGCCCCGCCAGGCCCCACAGCCCCGGCCGGCGGCAGGGTGTCATGGCTGGTGGTGACTCCAGGGAAGGGCCGCCGGGGCCCGGGGCGAGGTTTCCCGGTGTGGGAGCCCGTCTGTCCCAAGGCTGGTGTTGGGCCAGGGCGGGGTTGTTCTTCCTGGCTGCTTGGCAGGGATACGCGGGGGTGATTTTGTCCTCCCAGCACGGCACCCCATCCAGCAGGAGGAGTCCCGTGGAAGGGTTTTATGATTGCTTAGTTTGTGCTTTTTGACAAGTGTTAAATCCTGCTCTCGGGGGCTGAGGGGCTGCAGCCGTTGCTAGCACCCTTTTCCTCCGTGGGCACATTGCGGTGGTTGAGTTTTGTCGATCTGCTAAGTGTGTGAAGCTGTGTGACGTTGGCAACTGTACCGTGGGGACAGTGATGCTCGCAGGGACAGAGCAGGTGGTGTGGCTGCTTCCGAAGTGGGCGTTTGCCCACTTTTGGTTCCTGATGCAAGGTGGGTTTGTTCAGCTGGAGCTTGCTCTCGTGCTCCCATCATACAGTGTTCATATTCCTGGGCTCTGATCTAGCAGTAGTAAGTGCACATAATTTTGTTTTTTCTATGCAAGTGTCTAGATACTTTAAAGTGTGGATGAATGATAGCTGGGTAGAAAGTAGAGTTGGTGAACCTCTGCAGGTAGAGACCACGTCTGTCCACGTGGCTGTAAAGGTGTCTGTCACAGGCATATGCAATTCTGACTGTGGCTGACGGGCACAACTGTGGTGATAATAATCTGTGATTATAACTAAGAAACAAATTCTTTCTCTAGGTTCGCAAATGCTGCTGCACATCACAGTTCCGCAGAGGTTGCTCTCAAAAACAGCTGGAGAGATGGTACTTAAGTTATTTTGTGTTTGTGTGTGTGTGCAGGTGGATGTACACGCACAGGAATGTGATGTGCAACAGCCGAGGTGTGACTGGTAGAGGGACAGTTTTAGGAAACCACGTTCTGCCTGTGCAGCTGATGGGGGGACGACGCTCTGCTGAGCTCTTGTGCTTGCCCTCGGTGTTTGTCGTTGCCCTCGGAGCATGCTTTTCCGAAGTCGGTGTTCCTAATTCTCGCTTTCTCTGCTTTTCTGCACGCACAAGGACGCAGTGTCCTACGTCCTCACGATAGAGGGGAGGCCGTACACCCTTCACCTGCAGCAGCAGTAAGTTGGCCCTGGCGTTGCCTCGTCTGACCGCTGCTGTCCTGTTCCCCGGCGGCTGCTGGGCTGTGTGCTCTGTCCCCGGCACGGGATGGTGCCAGGCTGCGGGGCGATTCCCGCCTGTGGGGGTTCACGCTGGCGCTGCTCCCTCGGGCTGTTTCCAGCCTCTGCAGCTGCTGGGATCGTGCCCTGCTGCAGGCACTCCCAAAGCCCGCAGGGGACGTGTGCGTGTGTGCCACGTGCCCGAGTGCCGAGGGGCGGCAGAGGGCTGGAGGAGGGTTTGAGGGATGTTTGTGCCCGTGAGCCCTGGTGCCAGCGGGTTCTGGATCTGCCAGTGCAACAGCGCAGGCTGCAGGACCTGGAAAATAAGCTCAAGAAACTGGGTAAGAGATACTATTTTAAGTGCTTTGCTTTACACCTTTCTTTTGTAGTGTGTTTTTATCTGATGATTTCAGGATTTACGTGTCTAATGAGAAGGGATCTTTGCGCTCTGATTCAACCCATATCAAGGTAACCTTAGATTGCTTTGGGGTTTTTGTACTGTAAGCGTTGCAGCGTAGAGCTGCTGTCCGGTATGTGCGGTTCAGCTGTTTGGGTGACAGGTAAGGGAGTTGCCTTCACGGCCACGGAAGGGGCTCCTTGTCCTCTGTCGTGATGTAGGGAGGCTGCTACTACCGGGGGTACATCGATGGCTTTCCCAGCTCGGCAGTGACCCTCAGCACCTGCTCGGGGCTCAGGTAACGAACCGCCACCTCCCCGCGCCGCCGTGCCCGTTAGTGCTCACAGGCGCTGCCGGGCCTTTGCCGTGGGGGAGCCCAGGGATGCCCCTGCAGCCTCACTCGAAGGCCTCTGGGTAAGACCATTTCAGAGCATTTTCAGAGGATTTTATTGGTTTTCTGTTCTAGATTCTTTTTATCTGATGATTTCAGGATTTACACGTATAACGAGAAGGGATCCTTGCACTCTGACTTGCTCCATATCAAGGTAATTGGTGACCTGCTTGGTGTTTGTGTTGCTGCTTTGTTCCAGGGTAGCCTCGCTGTTCGATATTTTGGGGGATGTCACTAGTTACTGCAGGGGAGCAGTTCTTCCCCTCTCTCTCCACATTTTTGCTTCCTAATCACAGCAGGAGGTGCTGGGGTGAAACAAAAAGTTTTCCTTGCAAATGTGTGGTCAGATTGATGTTTGTGAAGGTTTTTGGAGTCGCTGAGTTTGCTTGGTTCAAAGCTTGTAATCCTGACCGTGGCTACCGTTCCTTACGAAGAGACCAGGAGAAGAGCCACCACTCCCCAGCAGTGCGGCTCAGCACAAGGCAGGGCAGTTCCTTATCATGAGGACGCCACATCCTCACACTAGGATTTGTTTCTAATTACTTGGGCCAAGGAGAGATTGTCCACAAAATCCTTGTTGTGCAACTCTGTGGAGTTGCCTTCACGGCCACGGAAGGGGCTCCTTGTCCTCTGTCGTGATGTAGGGAGGCTGCTACTACCGGGGGTACATCGATGGCTTTCCCAGCTCGGCAGTGACCCTCAGCACCTGCTCGGGGCTCAGGTAACGAACCGCCACCTCCCCGCGCCGCCGTGCCCGTTAGTGCTCACAGGCGCTGCCGGGCCTTTGCCGTGGGGGAGCCCAGGGATGCCCCTGCAGCCTCACTCGAAGGCGGCTGGGGCAGCCTCCCCGATGTGGCTGCCAGCGCCCGGTGGCAAATGGCCAGTGACAAATGATGCACCGTCACCATGGCAGGGGCTTGCTGCAGTTTGAGAACGTCAGCTACGGGATTGAGCCCCTGGGTTACTCTCCTGCGTTCGAGCACTTTGTGTATCGAGTGAGTGACGAGAAGACGGCAGGTTCCCTCTTTGCCAACAGCCACCCCGAGAGAGGGCCAGGCGGGCTGACAGCAGAGGAGATGTCGTACAAAGCACATGGAGATGATGAAGTGAGTGTTGTGCCTGTTCTCGCGGTGGTGCTGATGTCCCCGTCACTCGAGGAGGGGTCTGATCGCGCAGGAAGCTTTGTCCGGTGTTGTCTGGACGGACGGAGATGGGGGGGGGTTTATGAGTGCCAGTGCTTGCGCTGGGGTGTTGCAGGGATCGTTACTCAACTAGTGCCTAATGAGAGGCATCACCAAGGGGTACAAGATTTATTGATGGATTTGTAAAAGTGGGGGTATTTCTCCCTCCAGTTTGCAGATGATTGGCAGCGATGTGCTGGCTACTTCGGCCACGGGGTTCATGGGAGTGTCCCAGGGCCCCGATATTCATCTGAGCCGAGAGCCAATGTTATTAGCAAAAGACTTCAATGTTCTCCTAGGTGTCCTAATATACAGCTTTTGCTTTCTGCGCTGAAAACAGGACTAGCAAATGGCAATGCCTTGTGGAGGGTTTAGTGTCTCAGTCCCCCAGACAAGTCAACATTTCTTATGCCTCATGACTGAAATGAAGAAATGAATTATTAACAGTGAAGAATTTTTTTTTTTCCAGTCAGTGTCCAAATACCAGAGAGAGATGGCACTCCACATAGTTTTGGAAAGGGCTTTGGTAAGTCTGTTTCAGTCAGTTTGTGTTCTGTGTTTATTTTCTTTGCCCTTGCTCGAGCTGCGATGAAGCTTCACCGTGGTTGTCTGCGTGGTCCTGCCTGGCTCTGTACACTCCATGCCTTGCGGCCATGTGTCAGTGGGTAGAAGCCACTCTGAGAAATATCACGATAACCTCGTGTGCTTCAGCATGGTAAATAACCTAGATATAATCTCATGTTATTTTTCAGTACGACTACCTGGGTGCAGACGAATATGTTGTCACACAGAAGATAGTTCAGGTCTCCAGCTTGCTCAGCAGCGTAAGTTTTTCCTGGTTTATATGTACTGAGATGGAAATTTCGATGGCTTATTTCAGCCAACTAACGGCTAGGTATTGGTAGGATTTGTCTAATTTTTGAGAAGATAATTATTGAATGTGCTTTCTGGAAATATGGAGTCTCAGCTTGTTAGCTTCTGACTTTTTGGTTTAGTCTGTCAGAGCTCCAAGCTTGTCTAGGACTTGTCCAGACTGGGGTAGGAGGTGTGGAGGGGATTTTGCCCCTCGCTGTCCAACACAAACACATGCTTTAAATCAGTGCTGCTCTAGAGTCCCAGCAGTGCCTATTCCTAAAATCTCTGTGACAACACACTGTCCCATAGTACGTGCTCCACCGAGGGACCGTTGTGCACTTAGGCAGATGCCAGCAGCCACCGCTGCTCATTTCCATCTGTCTGTCTTAGGGGAGTGATTTATTGTTTTCCTGCCTGTGTAGTACACAGCTGGGTGAGCATTTGACTTGAAATCACAGGGAGTGTTGTGTTTCCTCCTGGAAACCTAAAAAAATGCAGACAAGGACAAGTTTATGTATTCTGTACGTTTAATTATTTAATTTCTCTATTCAAGCTTAGGTTGTCTTTGGGTTTATTAGATCCTTCTTGCTGAACTGATTTTTTTTGCTCTTTTGGACACAATTCTGTGTCTTTCAGTTTTGTATTTCCTACACCTTTTTCATGACACTTGTACAAAGCAGCTGATCAGTTGCCAAGTGCTCGTGTCTGTTTTCCTGAAGCAGCGTGGCTGCTAATAAGAACAAACATTTAAACAGCGCTTGAAATGAAACATATGGGAGCAGCCACTTCTCTTGTTAAACTTTCAGATGTTCAGGTCTCTTAATCTAACAGTTACACTGTCCTCCATGGAGGTCTGGATGGATAACAGTACATTTAAGACAACAGGGGATGGAGAAGAAGTGCTGGTGCGGCTGTTGGAGTGGAAGCAGACAAGCCCCGCTCTGCAGCCCCATGAAGTGCCGTATCTGCTCCTGTAAGAATAAATTGTCATCATTATTTAAGAGCAGACAACCTGCTGAATGCATGTACTTTTGAACAATAGACTTCGCTATGACTGTGATGCCTCTTGTAAAAATTGAGAGTGCAATGAGGTATTGCAAACAAAAAGTGAGCCCTACCCGAGCTTGGCATGATCAGCTGGCTCTGGCCGGGGCTGGCAGCGAGGGGGTGTCCCGGGCTGGACGGCTGGTGAGCACACGTGTGTTTCAGGTACAGGGACCGAGCAGGGTTCGTGGGCGCAACGGCTCCAGGAAAGGCATGTCAGAGAGACGCTGCTGGCGCAGTGGCCGTGGTACGGTGTTGCCTGTCCCCCACCAGCCCACGTGTCCGTGAAGCCGGAGCTCGCCCATGGGTGGGAGGGACAGGGACGGGCAGGAGCATCCGTGGCCGGAGCTGGGGCTTCCGCAGGGAAAGCGCAGCCACGGCAGCCCTGCTCTCTCCTCCCTCCAGTACCAAGGGGCCGTGACGCTGGAGTCCTTCTCTGTCCTCCTGGCGCAGCTGCTGGGACGCAGCCTGGGCATCAGCTACGACGACTCCCCAGACTGCCGCTGCCCCGGGCGCATCTGCCTCATGAGCCCAGAGGCGCTGTGAGTTGGTCGCATCCCATCCCTGCCCGCGGCGTTGCCCACGCGCTGTGGGGGCTGCGGTGGCCGGGGCAGATGAGGCGGGGGGGGAGGACGCGCTGGGGGGGGGTGGGGGCCCCAGCAGCCGCCAGGGCGTTCTCGCGGCTGTGGCCGGCCCCAGCCAGCTCGTGCAGCCACTTGTCACCCACCACCTGGCCAAGCGTGTGCGGTACCGCAGTGTTAGGAGTTAAAATAAAAATGTGTTTTAATTACTAGAAATCTTGAGATATTTTGGCCTTCCACTTTATTATCTCAGCCATAAAAAATGCAATGTTTGTGTTAGTGAATATTTTTGAGAAGTAGTAGTTGTATTTGCTTTAAATGAGCATGCTCTTCCAGCACTTCTGCCTGTGTTATTAGTCATACATGATTTGAGTCATTTTACAAAATGATTGCATGTTGAATATACTTTAAAATAGCATGTCTAGACTGATGTCCTAAAAGGAACTTAAAACATTGTGAGAAAAAAATGGAGTTGTTCTTAGTATAGGAACGATAAAGTATAAAGTAGTGGTTTGACTTGAGAAATGGACACTTTTAGTTTCAAAAGCAAGGTATTTCTGAATGCTTCTCAGTCTCTGTTAATAATGCATTGTAAAATCTGGTTTGACAAGTGAACAGAAAGACGCCCAGGGGACCATTTCGCCTTGTGCCAGCATCTGAACGAGTCCTTGAATTGCACAGAGATTTTGAGAGAGTGAACAGCGGTAGATGTGGTAACACAAACAAGTATGGATAATCGCTTTATTTCAGACGTTTCAGTGGGGCAAAAGCCTTTAGCAGCTGCAGCATCAGGGACTTCGAAACCTTTCTGAAGCAGAACAGGGACTGCCCTTTCATCAGGCATGCTCTGCGTCAGCCTTCCTACCGCGCAGCCATCTGCGGCAACAGCATCGTGGAGCCTGGCGAGCAGTGCGACTGCGGGGCACCAGAGGTGGGTGCCGCACTCCGGCGGAGGGTTGAACTTTCTTCTGGTCCTGAGAGCGGCTGTCAGCTGGAAGTGGTCTTAGGTGCTGTATAAAGCATTTCTGTGGTAACACGCAGAAGTGCAGCATTGCTGCTCTTCCCTCAGCTCCTCCGAGGCGTGCTGTTTGTTAGGAGGATGGGGCTCAGAGCAAGCAGTCATCCCGCAGATGGGGAAATTTGCAGCAAATAATGATTTCTGGTGTGTTTGCAGGCCTGTGCATTAGACAAATGCTGTACTCCCCAGTGTAACTTCAAACCAGGAATGAAGTGCTCCTTGGGATTATGCTGTGAAAATTGCCAGGTAAGGTGTGTTCATAATTGGCAGAAGTTAAGCCATTTTAAAACTTTGGAGCAGTAGTAGTTTCTATAACAGCACTGTCAACCAGCTTTCTGGTTTTGCTCAGACGGGTATCTCCAAAAAAACTTAATGATATTTGTGCTGCCTTTTGTCTCCTCTGGATTATGTTGTAAGGCATGTCAGGTAAGGCATGTTTTTATAATTATTGCAAGATCATTATTTATTTTTGGAGAAATAGTATGTTCCAGTGCTGAAGGATGGAGACAAACTTTCTGCTGTGCAGTCGGAGAGGTTCCCGGGGAAGGGCTTTCCAGCTCAGCTCCCTGAAACCCCCGGGAGGAATGTTACGGGGGGAAGACTGGGATTGTCACTCCAATGTGAATGTGCTGACCTGCGTGCGAGGCGCCTCAGAGGGGGTCCCGAGGGACCGGGGGTGTGTCTCGGGACAGCATCGGGAGGGTCTGTGTGGGGCCTGAGAGGGGACCGCGCTGGTGGGTGTGTAAGGGTGGAGAGAAGAGAGAAGAGTCCTTTCTGCCTCCTCTGCCAGTTCAAGCAGAAAACCTCACAGTGCCGCCCCCCCGCCGATGCGCAGTGTGACCTGCCCGAGTTCTGCAACGGGTCCTCCGCGTCCTGCCCCTCCGACCTGTACGTACAGGACGGGCACGGCTGTGAGCACGGCACCGGCTACTGCTACAAGGGATGCTGCCAGTCTCCGGACCTGCAGTGCCAGGCACTCTATGGGAAAGGTAACAGGCTGCTCTGTCGTCACGAGTACTAAGGTCGAGCTCCAGGGCTGTTCTAGGGCAGAAGGCGGCATCCAAGCACGATGGATGCCCACCCTCTCTCTTGCATGAAATTGGGGAAGTTGGGGACCGCTGGGAGTATGCAGCGTAAGGAAGAGCAGAGGAGACTGCAGGATGGATTTCCCGTGCTTGCGGAGAGGGGAAGGGAATGGGCCATCAGAAGAGGGTGACGGTTTCCATGGGGATTTCAGGCTGGCACAGCCAGTCATGCACACCTCACTGCCTCCTCAGAGAGCAGGACGAGCCAGAAACATACCCTGATGTTGTTGTGGAAGGTGTTTTGGACTGATCAGGCCATTCCACTGTCTGTGAGATCTGTCCCACAACCCGAACGGAGGTGGCTAGCGATGGGACTGGAGCGGTAGCCAAGTATTCCTCTGTCAGAGGCCAGAACTGATAAGTGTTAGAGGCAACAGAGGTATCTTAGTCTGTATTACCCTCAGTGGTAATCAGTATTATTTCTAAACTTCCAGGTGCAAAAAATGCTCCTTTGGCCTGTTACGAAGAAGTCAACAGTCAGCAGGATAGGTTTGGACACTGTGGCAACCACCCGAAGGATGGCTATCAGCCCTGTTCCTGGCCGTAAGTTTCAAGGGAATGCAAAGTATTGAATTGGGAACATATACTTAATTTGTGCTTCCCTTTACTGTTGATGCAAAGTAATAATCTGTGAGAAGGTTGCCTTCGGTATGTTTTTCTTTTGCTGGGTGGAATTGACTTGCAATATTCACTCTAGGCATTCTTTAGAGAAACGGTGTTGTAGAGAAACTGGAGACTTCCAAAGGCAACTTCAGCACACACCTAATTGTGCGAGCATTTAATGTTCTGATGGTTCATAGGACAGCTTCTCCCTTGGTATCAAGGGTTCAACTCTTCTGAAACTTCATGTGCTTGTGTTTTTATTTTGTCTAAATCCCCCTCCCCGAGTTGTGCACCTCAATGTCTCCAGCACTGTGATCAATCAGGTGCTGTGCATACTGTTCTAATTTATTGTGCTAATGAATTTTTTAGGAATCTGGGATGTGGAAAGTTAGTATGTACATACCCAAATCGTATTCCCTTCACAAAAGTCAAGGGTGCCATAATTTATGCTCAAGTGCAAGAACATCTGTGCGTGTCTTTCGATTTTATGCATGGACCCACAGCTCTAGATCCTCTCTTGGTGAAAGACGGAACAAAATGTGGTCCTGGAAAGGTAAGAAATATTGCACAAGCATCTGGAAATGGTATATAATTCTCATGACCGTAACAGTTTTAGAAATAGTTGCCGTTTTGCAGTATGAGTTAAAGGTGCTCTGTACTTAGGTTTTTAGTAATTATTACCTGTGCTATTGACTTTTGGTGATTCTTTAGGGCTAGGAATCCTTTTTAGAGTTATGGCAAGCATGGTAAAGGGTGATGAAAAAGTGCCCAGCAGGATTTTTTTCCGTTCGGTCTTTCAGGTTTGTATGAATGGCACGTGCCACCCACATTCAGTCCTGAAGTATGACTGCAACGTGCAGAAAAAATGCCACGGGCATGGAGTAAGTAACAGCAATGCAGTTAAATTAGTGTTATTGGTTTGACAAATATTGCTGAAGCAGTTCTGGTAAAATGCCCACTGGGGCTTGTCTGTGAATTGCCTAGACCTGTGTTTTGGGCTAGCACTTTTCCTCTGAAATCATCACGCAGTAACAAGTTATTGTGGGAGAAATTAAGTGAGACTACCTAACTTACTTTCTGTCCCAAGCGAAAAATAAGTGAGATAAAGGGGCTTGGAGTATTTGTTTGTCTAGATTAGCAGAAAACTGGAAAAGAGCCTCTAGAGAGGATTTAACCGCACATAACTGAAGTAGTGTTGGAAACGATCAGCATAGCTGTGCAAGGCGAGAGGCAGCATGGTGAACCATGGAGTGGGAACACAGGGGAAGGCTGAGCAGGGGTCTCGCACAGCGGTGTGGAGGGGTGTTGGCAGGCTGGTTGTGACTGCAGCATGGGAGCAGGCTGTGCAGTGGTGTGCAGAGGAGAGCAGGGGCGGGTGGGAAAGCAGCAATCTGGATGGAGATGGAGCACTGTTCCTCAGTAGGGGTTTTTACGGTGAGGAATGCTTTCTGCCCGCCCTGGTGTTGGCAGGTGTGCAATAACAAGAAGAACTGCCACTGTGATCCGGGCTGGAACCCCCCCAAGTGCAAGACTCAAGGATCTTCTGTAGGCGGCAGCATTGACAGCACGCTGGGCCCTGGTGAGTGCTGCAGCTGGGCTCTGGGTGCCCCGTGGTTTTACCGGGTGCGATGGCAGGTCCCACGGCCCCACAAATGGCCTGGTCAGGCTCACAGCTGAGCAGACGGTCTGTGGCATTGCCCAGCTCTTAGCCGGAGCTGTACGTTTGCTTCTCTCCCTAGATCATACCGCAAAAAGCTCTGCCCTGGCTGTGCTGAATAACTGGCGGCTGCTGCTGAGCTTCGGCGTCGTCCTCCTCGCCCTGGTCTGTGGCACCATCATGATGACAAAGTGGAGCCGGCTGAAAAGATTCTGTGCAAGGAGGGGATTGCAAATGGATGGGCAAGTTGATATGAGTTACTTAACGCAAATCCCCCGTTCTGGGTGTGGGAGATGGGCAGGGAGCATGATGGAATTACTGGAAAAGGTGGTGAGCGGGATTTACAGCCTGGGCAGAGCAGGGAAAGTGGCACTTGGGAAACAGTTACTGTTTGTTGGTCATAAAGGGAAGAAACTAGCAAACAGATGTCTAAAATATACAAATGTAGGAGAAGCAAAACTAAGGGTGGATTTCCTGGCACCAAGCATGCTGTCTGTGTGCAAGAGCTGGAGGAAATAGGTTTTCCATTTCCTAATTCCTGGGGAAAGCAAACCGAAAAAGGGGAAAAGCAGGATACAGGAGAAGCTGCAAGTCCCAGTAAAAACGGAGAGCGGCAGCTCGCTCTGCCTGATGTGGAGGAGGAGTGCGGGTGGGAGACGGCGCTCGGGCGAGCAGGGAAGCAGGGCTGGGTCAGGACACAGGGAACATCAGGGCTGGCAGGG